TTTTCTTCCTCACGGATGTTGAGCCCGAGGTATTGCGTAACCGTAGAAGAGACCGTGAGCGTGAGGTCTTTCTGGAGCTCCCCTTCGAACCACGCGGCGATGTTGTCGGTTGACCCAATGTAGAGAAGATCGTCCACATAGACGATTAATAGGACGTAATCGCCTCCTTTTGTGAGGCGATACATGCCTTGGTCATGCGGGAGTTGTTTGAAGCCGATGCGAATGAGGCGGGCGTGTAGGTACTGCTGCCACAGTCGCGGTGCCTGCTTGATCCCATAGAGTGATTTGAGTAGTTGACACACTCGGTTGGGTTCGCCGTGGGAGCCGTGCGGGAGTTCAACGAAGATTTCTGCATCCACAGGTGCGTAGAGAAATGCGTTCGCAACGTCGATCTGTCGCAATTTCTTTTTCTTCATGGCGGCGACGGCGATGAGGATTCGGAGTGAGGTGTGGCGACTGACCGGAGCGAAGGTTTCGGTGTAATCTCTTCCGTGCTCCTGGTCGAAGCCACGTACGACCCAGCGGGCTTTGAATTTGTCGATGGTGCCATCAGCTTTCGTCTTCACACGGAAGACCCATTTTCCGGTAAGAATGTTTTTATTTTGAGTTACGCCGATGGGAACAATTTTCCAGGTGTTGCGCTCCTCCAGTGCCTTCAGCTCTTTGTCCATAGCTTCACGCCATTTCTCCCTGTGTTCCCCCCCCAGAGCCTGCTGAACCGTCGCAGGCTCCTCAGGAATGCCGGCGCCATGGACTGCGGTGACGAGACCAAGGATTTGCAGCCCAGTCTGTGAGTATCGAGGGAGTTCTGGATCCTCGGGATAAGCTGCTTCGTCTCCCGTTTCTGGGTCGGGCATGAAATTTGGCCCTACCCTTTCTGCTTCGTTGGTGTTGACTGTCACAGGTGTTATGTAACCATCGTCGGCGAAACGGTAGAAGATTTCGGCGTTGTTACTGTCGCGAGGATTATCCTCATCCATGGGCACGTCGACGGAGCAGTATGGGAGAGGTCCGGCTTCTTCTGAGGCGTTGTCGACGTTCTGTTCATCCCAGTCTGCTTCGTCCGCTGCTGACGCGAAGGCTCGGTCACCACGAAAACCACTGGTGAGGTCCCGATTCTCGTGCAAGTTGGCGAGGTATGTCTGAAGGGTGAGTCTTTCGTAGAAGATCACGTCACGTGCTGCTACTGTTTCCTTTGTGTGGACGTCGAAGATTTTCCATGCGTTGTAATTTTTCTCGATGCCGAGGTGTAGTCCCCACTGTGCCCGTTGCGAAAATCTTCCCGCTCGTGCTTCTGGGGGTCTGTACTGTACCATGCACCCGAAAACTCGTAACATTTTCGTGCTGCCCTGCTTCCCTGTCCACAGCAGATGCGGTGATGCGTTGTTCGGGAGTGACGACGACGACAACAAGTTGTGCAGCATGACAGCGTGGTCCATTGCTGCTGGCCACTGGTGGTTGGGTAGCCGCATGCCACGTAACAGTTTGCGCATGCTGTTCTGCAGGGTCCTGTTCAGTCGTTCTGCAACACCTTGCTGCTGATGTGCGTAGGGAAGGGAGAGGAGTTGCTTGATCCCCCTTTCCGCCAAGAACTGCTTGAAGCGCTGAGAGGTGTACTCGCCACCTCCGTCTGACTGGAAATTTTTCAGTTGTGTTCCAGACTCTCTCTCTGCTATCGGTAGCCAGGCGGCGAATGCTGCGAGCGCCATGTCGCGGCTGGGTAGGTTGCGATGCCAGACGTATCGAGTAGCAGCGTCGATGAAGGTGATGGTGTAGTTGTAGTTGACTTGTCCTGGTTCGCGATTGTAGAGGATGTCGCTGTAGACTTTTTCGAGTGGTGCGTACGCTGGAGCGCTCGGGTTGTGATGTGAAGCAAACGGTCGATGAGGTAAGTCAGCTTCGGGACATATAAGGCAAGTCCCTCGTGCCTTCTGGAGTTCTCTGCCATCGGGTAGAAGTAGAGAGTCTTTGTCGAGGACTCCTGCTCTTATCGTGTTATTCAAAACTGTGTTGCTTGGATGTCCTGTGCGTGCGTGCCAGATCTCTTCAGAGGCGCGGTGTCCGGGTGAGCGCTGATATGCGTCGGAGTTGGAGTAAAAGCTGGCGACGAGGTTGGCGCTTCGGTGGACTTCACGCTGAGTCGGATTCAGCTGTTGCGCGAGTGTTGGTGGTGCTTCGTCGACTGTGACTGGTGTCGTTGTTCCTGCTGCTGCTGATGTTGTTGCTGCTGCCGATGTTGTTGCTGCTGTCGATATTGTTGCTGCTGTCGATGTTGTTGCTGCTGCCGATGTTGTTGTCTCTGCTTCTTGTTGAATTGTTGCTAACGCTCTTGTTCGTTCTGCTTCAGGGATAGTGTGGGAGTACCAGAAACCTCCCGGGCTGAAGTCGGGATCGAGATCCGGAGGGTGTGTCCATTCAGCAAAGTTCACAATGGCGTCGCTGTCTGCAGTGCCGAGGTCGGGGGCGAAGTCGAGGACGAAGACGTTGTTCTTCAGCACTGCTTTCCCGATGTAGAGACCGCCTCTTCCGTGGTAAAGCTTGAACTCCTGGGTCGTGCTGTCGGCTTCCAGATGAATTCCTTTCGCCATCAACTGGCTAACGCTCAGTAAGTTGTAGCCGAGTCCTTCAGCGATGAGTACCTTAGACATGTGCAGTATGACATTTGTTTCTCTTGACTGAAGCTGTACCACTCCTTGTCTTCGTGTGCGCAGGTTTTGGTTGTTGGCAACCGTGATGATCACTTCCCGTTGGAGTCGATGTTCGCGTTGTACGAAACGCCCGGACGAGCACATGTGTTGCCCGCAGCAACTGTCCAAGAACCAGGTGTCTTGGCCGGACGGTTCACTTTGAGCGATAGCGGCGTAGGTCGGATTTGGATGGAGTGATTCGCGACGAGGCGTCCTGTTGTCGAGCTCCTCTTCCGGTGAGTAATGGGGTGGTGACTCTGTTATGCAAGAGTCGTTTATCTTGACCATGCAGTTGACTATATGTCTTGCTCCTTGTGCAGGTTGTCCAGTTGAGGTCGTTGAAGCTTGAATCGTGGTTGTCGAACTTGCTTGTGTCGAAGCAACTTGTGTGCTTGAAGGCCGCAGTTGTCGCTGTGGTGTTGTCTGTCGAGACGGGCAGTGCGAGCGTGGGTGTCCTGATGTCTTGCAGATGTGACAAAATGGAGGTACTAACTTCGGCTGCTGCTGTCGATTGTAGTAGTTGTGTCGTCGCTGAGTATGGAAAGCAAACTCCGGTGCTAATGTCCTTTTCTTGTGTCTTTCTTCTTGCAGGTCCATATCCTGCTGTTCCGCGTGAATTTCTGCGCAAAGTGCCGCTTCGGAGATCCTCCCGTGTGCTCGAAGAATTGCTTTGGTGGCGCGCCACTGAGGACCGAGGCCGCCTATGACGACTGTTACGAAGGCGTCTTCAGAGATTGACCCTCCACATCGAAGAAGCTTGTCGCGCAATTCGCGACATCGGCTGATATACGCCAACCCTTTTTCTCCTGGTTTCATTTCCACTGTTGTCAGCTGCGCCATTAACCTGCTCTGGTTTACACTGTCTGTTGCCTGGTACAGGTTCTTCAGATGGCCGTACGCGAGTTCCGCCGAGTTGCCGAAGTTCCGGTAGGAGCGAATGTTCTGCTGCTGGGTTGGTGTGATGTTTCTCAGTAGAATAGTATACGCCATCATGGATTGATACGTATACTGCTGCTTTTCATACTGTGTCCCGTTTGCTGGATACTGCAGGGATCCGTCGAAGAAGCCAAGTATCTGCGCGCCCTCCATCATCAACTCGAATTCAAAGGACCAGGTAAAGAAGTCCTTTCCGTCGAAAGGTCTTGACGTCTGTAGTTTCAGAACATGCGCGAACTGCGACTGTACTTGTAAGGCATCCATTGGTTTGTCTTGCGCAGGTGGAGGTTGAGGCAGGAAGCTGATCGACCCGCGTTCGTACGGGGCGAAGGTGGGTTGCTGCTGTTGATTCCCTCGCGCATATGACGACCCGTCAAGGCTCATGGGTGTCGCTCCGTTGTTGCTGTTGTGTGTCTGTGCAGGTCCCGACTGCTGGTGTTGCTCGTAGAAGGACATGAAGGAGAAAAATTTCTCCATCATGTTCTGGTCGAAGTCAGAAGGATGGTTCGTGGGGGTCTCGGTTGACGTTCCCCTTGGTCTTGCTGCCGTGCCTTCCTCTGTCTGCAGGCCAGAGGCTGGTGGTGGAGTAGGAGTAGTCCCCGAGGAGCCATTAGGGGAGCTCCTTTCCTTGTTTGTTGCCATGTCTTGTAATGATAAAAAAAGTTAGAGTTTTCCCCTGTCTGCTCTCATACCATGTTGGGCTGAGAAAATAGCCCTTAGGATCTTTGCAGAGGAGAACTCTTGGGTAGAAAACTTGTAATAGCGGAAGCGTTTGATGAGGATTGTGAACCGACCTTGCACTGGTGTGTGAGAGCAAAGTAGATTGAATTAAACAAGCAAATACAAGGATTTTTATAAGAGTACAGGGAATACGAATAGATAGGTAGATAACTGTATTGCTGTTGCGGTTCGATACAGTGCGACTCGGGCAACTGCTCTGTAACGAGTCAGTTGTGTGTCCTTAACTGTCGCGCTGTGATTGTCGAGTCAAAGGTCAGCGACCTTTGACTTTCTCGTAACCTCCAGGCGGTTACCCTAACCTCCGAGGTTGACTCGATGCTTCGATTGGGACTGCTTCGCTTGGTGCCTTGGGTTTTGATACGACAGAAGCGCACTTAGGACTTATTGTTTCCAACACCGACAACATGGTTCTACAGATGTGGCTATAACATAATGTTACAATGTTATTTGGCTGCCGATTTATCCAGAGTGTCACTCTCAGACTTCTCATCCCTGGCATTCCCAAGCTGAACAGCAGCACTTCCTCCTGCAGGAGAAGGCAGAGCTTGTTAGCGATACAGAGGCCACGGGACATTCCTGAATACCGTGTACATACACGCGGAGATAAGAGCCCCCCAGGACAAGTACCGTACTTACCGAAAATCAGTGCTGCTCCCAGATACCCTACTGTTGTCCACTCCTCCTGTAGGACCAAGGAGGCTAATAGAGCTGAGTATAGCGGCTCGAGAGTGTAGACCATGGCCACTTCAGAGGCCGCAACATGCCGGAGTGCCACGATCTGCACCAAACAACGAGCGAACAACATGTGGGTCGATATGTGGAAAAGACAAGGGATAATATCGAAAGCAGGAGTCATGAGAGACAGGAATTCAAAGAAGGTGGCGGCGGTGGCGGCAGTGGTGGTTGTGGTGGTGGTGGTGGTGGTGGTGGTGGTGGTGGTGGTGGTGGTGGTGGTGGTGGTGGTGGTGGTGGTGATGGTGGTGGTGGTGGTGGTGGTGGTGGTGGTGGTGGTGGTGGTGGTGGTGGTGGTGGTGGTGGTGGTGGTGGTGGTGGTGGTGGTGGTGGTGGTGGTGGTGGTGGTGGTGGTGGTGGTGGTGGTGGTGGTGGTGGTGGTGGTGGTGGTGGTGGTGGTGGTGGTGGTGGTGGTGGTGGTGGTGGTGGTGGTGGTGGTGGTGGTGGTGGTGGTCGCAGCGGTGGTGGTGGTCGCAGCGGTTGTGGTGGTGGTGGGGTTGCAGTCCAACCTGTGGAGGGCCAACAGCAACGAACCTCAAGCCAGAGGCAGAGGGCGGTGGAAACCACCCCTGTGTACCCCATCTGTACCCACGGCCACGAGCTCACCACCGAGGCTAATCTTTCCACAACATCAGTGGGTGACGTGGCACTGATGAGCTCCTTGGCCTGGGCGACTAAACTGGGCAGGGTGTGTGAGGTAAGAAGAGCAGGAAGAGGAGACGCGAGGTCTGCTGCAGTTACTGGCATGGCTGCTGCGGCTGCTGTGGCTGATGCAGCTGTTATAGCTGATGCCCCTATGTCGGCTGCAAGGGCGGTGGTGGCCAATGGAAGGTCTATGAGGCTGATGAATGCTGTGCCAATAGCAGCACAGCACGCCACAGTGGATATCTGCCAGTGCGCGAAACAATTCAGCACACACAGAGGAGCAGCGATACAATGAATAATGTGCGCTCTGAGGTGGACGGGAGCACGTGTGATTTCTACACGTTTGACACGTGGATCACACAGCATAGCTCACATCACCTGAAGGGCGATGAGGTCAAGACTGGCTGTGGCGGGCACAGTCTTTGCAAAGTGCTCCGATCGCACCATGAGCAGCCCAAACGCCACCGCGCTCACCAAAGCCAGGCCGTCACCCATCTGAGCCAGTGATGTGTGGGGAGAGAGGGGAGGGAATGTGACAGGGACACAGGACACACGGACACAGTCTTTGCAAAGTGCTCCGATCGCACCATGAGCAGCCCAAACACCATGGCGCTCACCAGTGCCAGACCGCCCCCCACCTGCGCCAGTCATGCGTGCGGAGGGGACATGAGACAGTGACACAGGACGATGTTTGAAGAGCCTTCAACGCCATCACCAACACCAGGCCGCCGTCACCGGCCTGAGACAGTAGCGGGTGCGGAGGGCATGGAGCACAGGTACAGGACGATGTTTGAGGGGCCTCTTTCTCAGACATGGAGCACAGGCACAGGTACAGGTCGATGTTTGAGGGGCCTCTTTCTCAGACATGGAGCACAGGTACAGGTCGATGTTTGAGGGGCCTCTTTCTCGGACAGCAAAACTAGCAGGAGCAAGTGATGTGAGTAGTGGGCATGATACAATGCAGCTGGAAGAACATACTGAAGAGAGTTGGTCGTAGACATCATATCATAGCGGATGGCACATGAGTGTAGCAAATAGATGCTTATCTCTGACATGAATCGATTTCGATCAGGGTCCTGAGTGTGAAAATACGAGTGGACTCACGAGCGTGGAGGCTTCAGAGTTGGCTTCGAGGAGGAGAACGCCAGCAACGGCGGAGGCAGTGGCAGCCCACACGAGGGGAGGGATGCGCGCCCCCAGCAGACCCGCCACCAGCGGCACCTCTATCATCTGCCCCGCAGATCAGGCGACAGAGCAGATACAAAATTATGTATAACAGACGTTTGACCTGCCACCAGCGGCACCTCTATCATCTGCCCCTTCGCAGGTCAGACAACAGAGAACAAGAAGACCGATATCATTGAAATGATTATCTCTGAAGAACTGCCTCCAGCGGCACGTACATCATTTGATAAACGGACGCAGCAACACATTAATCACGCGGAAGCATGGTGCCAAGCTGGCAATGCAGCACGCAGAACCGTCCTTAAGATTGATTCACAAGCACATCCATTGCAAACGACAATGCCAAGACATCCAGACACAGCCAAAAGTGAAGGCGAATCCACGAAAGCTAATTCCTGCTTACAGTGAAAGTGCCGATAAATGCCACGCGGCCAGCGCCAGTGGTGATGAGAGCGAAGGCCTGGGAGAGGTATGCGAGAGCGGCCCAGAGGCCCATTTCGATGCCGCATCGACGGACAGCGGGGTTGGAGAGGGCGGTGGGGAGCAGCGGAGAGAGTGCAAGTGCAGCGATGGCGAAGCGACCCAGACAGAACTGCAGCGGCCCTCCCGCGGCTTCCTCTGCTCCCTTGATCACCGTGCCGTTGCTGGCTGCAGGAAGTGCGGGTGTGATGCAAGCATGGTAGGGAAGGGAGGTTGGGAGCGCTTAATCCTGGACGATGGAAGAGGTCAAGAAGCGAGATTGAGAGCACGGTAAGTGAGTATCATGGAGAGTGTTGAATGCGTACCATAGACCATGATGAGTGCATACCATAGAGCATGACGAATGCATACCATAGAGCTTGGTGAATGCATACCATAGAGCATGGTGAATGCATACCATAGAGCATGGTGAATGCATTGCATACCATAGAGCATGACGAATGCATACCATAGAGCATGATGAATGCATACCATAGAGCATGGTGAATGCATACCATAGAACATGGTGAATGCATACCATAGAGCATGGTGAATGCATACCTTAGAGCATGACGAATGCATACCATAGAGAATGATGAATGCATACCATAGAGCATGGTGAATGCATACCATAGAGCATGACGAATGCATACCATAGAGCATGATGAAAGCATACCATAGAGCATGACGAATGCATACCATAGAGCATGATGAAAGCATACCATAGAGCATGATGAATGCATATCATAGAGCATGGTGAATGCATACCATAGAGCATGGTGAATGCATACCATAGAGCATGGTGAATGCATACCATAGAGCATGATGAATGCATACCATAGAGCATGGTGAGCGCGTTCAGAACGATGAGGCCGCCAGTGCGAGACGCAACCACCTTGGTGACGGTTTCAGCTCCCTTCTCCATCAGCCGCGGCACCAAGTCCGCCAGGGACCGACCCTCCTCCTCCCGTTTTGCCGGATTTCCATCTGACAAGATTTCTTCGCTTTCAGGTATCGAGCTTCCATCGCTGACGTAGCAGCGAGTAGTTTCGGTACGTCCGGTAACAGAATTGTCGCCGCTCGGGCCGGTGCGGCGAAGAAAACGATCTGAAGCTCTAATGTCGTTGCGTTGAATTGGGATAGGCGGGTAGATTCCAATCCTTTTTTGCAACCGAACGGTTCGCGATGAGTGGAGCGAACAGTCACGGCATTGAATTTGGTCACTAGAGAGCCGCTTAACTTGCTTAGGTTGTCGGAATGCTCTGGTGAACTGCCTATCTAGAAGCGAGGAGGACATTATCGTAAATTTCCGGAGCAGCAGCTTGCGTCACAGGCCGGAAGACGGTACCATCTGCGTGCTTGTTCTGTGCTGGAAACGCGACTAAAGCCTTGGATCATTCGAATCGAAATTCACCGTCGCGCACGATGGTCCCAGGACTTAGCCTCTTAGCCGCCTTGACTTAACGTTCATCCCGTCAGCACCTCGCGAGAAACATAATAGTTCACTGAGATTCCATCCAATTCGTCGCCTTCCCAGTTTCCTCCAGCCCGCTTCTGAATCCGCAGCTTCACCTTGAGACTGTCACATGCTTCTCTCCTTCCGATCGACCCTCTCAGGCATGCAGTGCCGCTGATCAGCAAGCACCTGCTGCACGAAGTTCACTGAATCTGGTGGTTCGTGCTTTTGCGGTGACCGACCGATCACCACCGTTCTGCTTCTGTCCGTTCAGTTCCCTCCTGGGCCTGTCAGATATGCTTCTGCGCATTTCTTGGGATTGTCGGTCACACACTCGCGGCGCGTCACTTCGTGAGCAAAAGTGATGATATCGCGCCGAACACTTGACCAATTTGCTGAATAAAGAAGTAGCCAATATCACTCAACAACAGTCAAAGAAAGCACCATGCACAGCATTAGCTTGTTGATAAATGCACATAATCTGCAACTCGGACGGGACGGGAGCATATCAGCATAAAAACAAAGCAGAAGCAAAATCACGTGAAAATCCTCACGTATATTGCAATACACTTTTTTCTATGCCACAACTCTTCACGATCCACCACACCGCCCTAGATCAGTCCCAGGCCCTCAGATATCAGCGTAAAACACGCTAATTAGGCTGATTTTGTAGCTGTGATTTTCGTTTTCCCTGGAAATTCAGCATATGCTTCAATTTTGCACTGAAATTTCAGTATAATCTACCTTGCCACACTGACCATTTTCCGTGTTGCTGTAGAAATAACACTAACAAATCAGTGTAGTATCGTGAGTCCCACTGAAACGGACTTGACCGATTCGGAGGGGGGGGGGGGGGGGGGGGTGGGTACGCGTGCGTATAGTATGGACCTGGCCCGGGATTCACGAGACCCCAACCACACACTTGGAGATGCCATGCGCTATACAGCAGATCGCGTGCCGACGTGCTTTGCATCGCTGGAAGGAACTCTCGTGGCCGCAAACTTTGAGTTGAAATGAAATTTTTCGAAAGTGTGTAACACTTTCTAAAAATGCGTATTGTGAAAGCGCAGCTACCTGTAACGAAGCAAAGCAACGGCGAATTACAATTCGCCGAGTATATAACGAGGGTTGGAGGCCATTCGGCCTCCACCCACGACTTCATTTCGGAACTTTGCAGTTCCACTCATTCTCGTCCAACCACCACTGAAGTGTCAGAATGAGGAATGAGTGTTGCATTGATGTTGGTTGGGGTACATATGACAAACCCTAACTTCTGTACCCCCTAAGACAAACCTCACTACAGGCTACAACATTTGACACTCCCCCATAGCCTAAGTGAGGGGTGTCTAGCAAAAACAAAAAGAGTACGGTCACAAGACCAGTCCAAAAGAAAACAAAGCTCAGGGTGGATCACAACGTCACCACACACTCTGAGCACAAGCAACAGTGGCCACAAGGCCAGTCCAAGAGATCACAAGTATATATAGTAAATGTACAGACGAAGCAGGCAATAAACTCAAGTCTACGCATGACTAGAACCTGTGTCAACAAGGCCTAACTGCACACAACACCTCTGGTGGTCACAAGGCGGAAGCACCTTGGTGAAGATGTCTGCAGTGTTGGCCTCGGACTCTACGAACTCGAAGCGAGCCTGTCCACGCCTCTGCAACTCTCGCAGAAGAAAGTACCTGACGTGAATGTGCTTCACTCTGCTCTCCAGTCGCGGCTCACGACAGAGGAGGATCGACGCCTTGTTGTCAGTAAACAAGGTCGGTGCAGAGCTCGGCCGCTCACCAAGGTCAGTGAGCAAGAAGGTCAACCACCGCAACTCCTGTGCCGCCATGGCACCAGCGTAAATCTCAGCCTCAGCTGTAGAGGTCGAGACAGAAGAGGAGCGCGTGGAACGCCAGGAAACAGCTCCAGAACCCAGACTGAAACAGTACCCCTGAGTAGACCTGTGAGTCTCAGCGTCGTCAGCGTAAGAGGAGTCACAGTGACCAGTGAGTACGACAGACTGCTGCCCTCCAAGAACTAGCCCCACGCCTGATGTAGTCGCTAGGTACTTCGCCACCCTCACAGCTGCCGTCCAGTGAACAGGACGGTGTCTCCCTGGCGCAACAAAGCGCGCAAGGATGCTGAGAGGGAAGGCGAGGTCCGGGCGAGTACAAGTCATCAGGTACATGAGGCAACCCACAAGCTCTGCGTAGGGACCACTAGGCTCAAACGGCTCGTCAGGAAAGGGACCAGTGAGTCTGTGGTCAACAGCGAGAGGTGTGCGCTGTACGGTGGAGTGCTGAAGCCCGAACCGCTGAAGGACCTGCTGCACCATGTGTGACTGTGAGAGTGTAATGGTGCGAGCGGCTCTGTCCCTGGTGATCTGCAGGCCAAGGTAGTG